TAAGTCCTTTAATCCTAGCTGCTACTCTGGGAGATAGGCATATTATCCAAGTATCTGAAAGGAAACCATAGTTCAGTGAGGTTAAGTGGCTGGACAATGAACATAAATGAGAAAGAAAAAGAGGTAACACAAAGGGTCTTCAAAAAATTCATAGAAAATGCACATTATGAAAAAAACCATGCATGGATTTGAAAATTTTTTTAACCAAATAAGATCATACTCTAATTCCATCTTCTACAATTTTTTTGAGAGGTTTTTGCTATAGGGCACGTGCACTCACCAGAAAGACAGAGAGAGACAGAAAGTGAGAAATCACCGCCCCCCAGGGGGGATGGCCACATCGCAATCCCTTTTCCTCCATTCTCCTCTTGGGATCTTGGGCATGCACACATGCCCAGCGTGAGTTTAAGTCACCGGGTCCAGGACTCAAACCGCAGTCGGCTACATGAGAGTCCAGCGACATAGCCATTACACTAACTGCTGGTGCCTTCTACAAAATTTTTGATGCCCCTTCATAGAACAGCCAAAAGGAATCAAATATAAGCCAACACATGGAATAGATCATGTAGCTCCAAAATAAGTCTCTGGAATTGAGGAGGATAAAATACTCTGTAGGTTAAAAATGCACATTTTTTTCCCTTAGGTTTTTGCCATAGAGTATGTGCACTCACCAGAGAGAAATAGTGAGAAGGAAAGTGAGAAATCGACCCCTGAGGAGATGGCCACACAGCAATCCCTTCTCCTTCATTCTCCTCCTGGAATTTTGGGCATGCATGCACATGTGCCTGACATGATTCTCAAGCCACCAGGTCCAGGATTCAAACCACAGTTGGCCATGTAGGAATCCAGTACCTCAACTACCACATCACCTGCTGGTTGCTAAGAATGCACATTTTGACCAAAGCAATTTTTATACAGGGATAGCCCATGGTGCAATTGTCACATCATGTTTTGAGCTGCTAGACCCACATGGGAAGGTTCTAGGTTCACATGGAGACCACTGTGCGTGTCAGGCATATGCACATGCCTGCAATCCCGGTCAGCTGAGGCTGGGCTGAGTCATAGTGCCAGGATCCTTGTCTCTCTGTCTCTCTCATGGGAGAAATAAAAAAGTTAACTTAAAAAAAAATGTTTTAGGGACCAGCAGATGGCATAATGGTTACGTCCCTGGACTCCCATAGTTGACTGTCCTTCGAGTCCCAAACATGGTGGCTTAAAACTCACACCGGGTATGCATGTGTGTGTGCTCAAAATCCTGAGAAGAGAATGGGGGAAAGAGATTGCAGCATGGCCATTCCCGCTGGGGGTGGGGGTGATTTCTCACTCTGTCTCTCTGGCAAGTGCACTCACCCTATAGCAAAAATATCTCTTAAAAAAAAAGTTTTACATTTCTTTTTCCAGAAGGAATACCATGTATATCAGTCAACACAGACACATTAAAATTCCCATTTCACCATCAAAGGAAATTTTTATATAAACTATATAACATTGAAATGTCTTATTTCCTATATAATATTAAAAATTAAAGCATACAAGCCAGCCCTTTAGCCTAGGGGGTAAAGGAACCAGATTCCACGTGGTTAATCATGGTTCAATTCCAGCTTCGGCAGCTTGAAAAACATGCTAGGTACATAAGTATGCATTTCCAGAATCCCAGTAGGATGGGGATATGGAGGAAAAGGGACTACAACATGACTATGCCTACTGGAGGATGTTCTCTCTCTCTCTCTCCATCCCCCCCTTCTCCATCTTTCTCTGGCAAGTATATGTTCATACTGGCAATGCTTTAAAAATTAATAAGCTAAGGGGCCAGCGAGTGGCACAGTGGGTACGCCTCTGGACTCCTACATGGCTGGCCACAGTCTGAGTTCCGGACCTAGTGGCTTGAAAATCATGGCAGGCACACTTGCATGCATGCCCAAGGTCCCAGGAGGAGAATGGAGGAGAAGGGATTGAAGCATGGCCATCACTCCTGGGGGGGGGGTAATTTCTCACTTTCTGTCTCACTGTCTCTGTCTCTGTCTCTTCTCTTCCTCTCTCTCTCACACACTCCCTGGCAAGCACGTGTGCACTGTGGCAATAGCCTCTGGGAAAAAAATTAAAATTTAGACAATTAATAGAGGAGTCAACATAAAGAATTTGGGGATGAGGACCAGGCATGGCAAAGCAGTAAAATACAATGCTCTGTGAGGCTAACCCACACAGGACAGCTCCAGAGTCAAGTCCAGAGACCTCCCCAAGTATGTGGCCATGATCCAGGGCTAGCAAGTCTAGGTGTGGATTACGGCATCAGGACCCTATTGGGGTGCTCACTCTGTCTCTCTCTCATCTCTGTCTTACTCGTAGAAGAATAAATAAACTTACTTTTAAAGAAAGAATTTGGGGATGGAGAAATGATGATTACAAAATGGTGATGAGCTATGAGCTACGAATCTGCTTACAACTATAACTAATATTAAGTGATTCTAAGAACTTTTTTATAGAATAGAACATGGGCGTTACATGTCTACGTAGAATAAAAACAAATACCAATGCAAAAGTATAAGGAGGTTGTAGAGAGGAAAAATTGTAAACGGTGCTGATCTTCTCATTTTTCATAGCAGGGAGTCAATACTACATAAAGTTGAAAAAACACAGCTAAAAATGATTTCAGCTTCTTAATGGCTTTCAAGCTCTCCCTGTTTTTTAAACTTGAAGAGATTTTTGCTTCTTTTGTTTCCTCCGGCAGGCAGCCTTCATTTAGTCCTGGGTAGCAATAAATAAAACTAGCCACCATCTGTGGAGTGCCCATTCTGCACCAGGCTCTGTGGCAAAGCCCTGCAGATGCGCAGGCTTAGGTGACTGCCCCTCTGGGGAACAAGGGGACGATGAGGCTCAAACCTGAGAGGGCAGAGTAGCCTGATCGCTCTGAGGACTCAGTTGGGCTTCCAGACACTGCACTCTCTCTTCTAACCAGGCCAGCTGTGGGCAGCAGCAAGTAGTTCCGTGTGAGAGAGCAGGCAGGGAGCAGGGTGGGGCAGAGCAGCAGCATGACATGGAGAAGTGTCCTGATAGCTCAACGGGTTCATTGAATCAAATAGGGCCACAGAAAAGGACTGCACTGTATGAGGGGGTAGCGACATAAAACAAGGTAGCAGGGGGTTTTTTGTTTGGTTTTTGGTTTTTGGTTTTTGGTTTTTTTGTTTTTTGTTTTTACTATAGGGCACATGTGCTCACCAGAGAGACAGAGAAAGACCAAAAACAAGAAATCACCCCCTGGGGGGATGGCCACACTGCAATCCCTTCTCTTCTAGTCTCCTTTTGGGATTTGGGGCATGCACACACATGCAACTGGAGCGAGTTTTAAGCCACCAGGTTCAAGACTTGAACCACAGTCAAATACATGAGAGCCCAGCAATGTAACCATTATGCCATCTGCTGTTTCTGCAATGTATTTTTTTAAATGCTAATGGAAAGTACTGTTTGCATCTGAAATGCTTAAACATATAACTTAGAGAGAGGATTGAACTCCACATACTCGAAGCTCAAGTAATGCTCACTGAGCTGCCAGGCTGCAGAACTTGGGCAGGAAGGGGGTGGGGGGTGGGGAGCAGGGGAAATTAAGTCTGGTTAAGTCAGGTTTACTTTAATCTCCAAGGTCGCGGGAACTCCACTAACCTCTGGGATCTACCTCAAAGATATAGAAAGGATTTGGAGGAGGGGATTTACAAATCTGGGAATGCAAAAAGTTTGCATTTTCTAATCTTCTCTCTATTGAACATAATTTCTATTTCAAGTTTCTGCTAATTCTAGAAAATTCAATCATGTACATTTATGTGTAGAAGGCTTTTTTGTTCCCCTACAGTCTGATTGGCTTTCTTCCTGCATTTCTCACCAAAGTGGGATCTGAGTTCTGATGGCTGTCAATACCATCCAGACCTAGAGAATGAGTGGCCCTCGATCTTGGCCTTCAGTGTCCATGGGTAGCTACTGAGATTCCCAAAGCTCTACTGTCAGCCCTGTTCTCTGGCTCTGAGAGGACACTCCCACTGTCAAGCTCCAGGCTCTGCTCTCAGCCAGATGCCCCTCTCAGAAACTGAAAGACTGCAGGTGCCCTTCTGCCCACTTCTGGAACACTCCAGGGTTTTCTCAAGCCCTTTCTTCCAAGACCCAGCCCACTGCCAAGTTTGTTCTAGTGTATCAAACTGGGGTGGCAGTGAGACAGGGGATTCAGGAGACTTTCTGCCTCCCTGAGCCTCTTCCCATGAAGGATGCCAATTCCTCCACCTGAAAGTCCCAGTCCACAGAAGTGGCTGCTAGTCTTCCATCCCTCAGAGCCCACAGCCAAGCACTGTTTCCTTTGTCCACCAAGAAAAGTGCAAAAATGTTTCAGCTTCAAGATAGAGTTTTAATGGGATGAGGGTAGTATGCGAAATTTAAAATTGGTGGACCTGAAAGAGGTCCTCCAATGTAGATAAACCCCAGGCTCCCTCCACCTTGCTCCCCACTATAAGAAACTGGAGATTTCACCACCCTCCCTCATGTGGGTCATCAGATGCTCTGCAGAGCTCAGCTCCCTACAGCTTGGGGTTCTCTATGCCAAAGCCTTCAGAGAGTGCCTAAAGACTTAGCGCCCAGCACTGCTGTCAGGGACCCTGTGCCTGCCCTGAAGAGGACAGTCAGCCAGCATGGAGGATTCCCCAGTGGGCAAGATCTAGAGCCAGGAGTTTCTGCACAGACGGGGCCAGCCAGACCCTTAAAATCACAGTTACACTTGTGTTAGCTGGCCAACACATTGGACAGCTGACATTAAGGGACAGCAGGGATGAGAGCCCCATCCCTCACGACGTAAGATGGGGTCGAGTGATTCCTATCTCTCCTGGCATCGCCTGCACAGTCAGGGACTGAACTAGGGGCATTGCATGAACCATTTCTCTCCCAGCTTGTGTCACTCCTGCAGTGGCCCCTCAGGCCTGCTCTCTGCTAGATCTCCATAACTGACAGCTTTGTCTTCCCAGCAGAGGAGAGAGGCTCCAGAGAAGGTGGATCCTACAGATCCCTAACAGTGACATCAGCCAGGACTCAAGGGAGAAGACACAGACCAAGAGCAGACATAGGCTCAGATCCCGGCCCATCTTGAAATTTCTCTGTCTCCTCAAGGAGCTTCCTTGGCAAAACCTAGCCTCCTCTCAGGGGCGCCAGTCAAAAGGAAGACACGTGCACTCTGAAAACAGGATCCTGGGGGATCTTTCCTGTTCCCCTTGTTTCTCACTCAGCCTTTGTGTTCTGAAGGAGGAGGAAGACACAAAGGACCTGGCCAGGTTCTCTGTGACTCCCACCCTGAGCTTGGCACCTTCAGGCACTGAACATGGTCATGCTGACCCCCAGGCATCTCCTGGCCCCTTCATGCCCCAGAGTTTCTGAGGATAGGCAGCAAGGCTTCACCTGGCCTTGCTGCTGACAACTTCCCCAACATGCAGAGAAGACCAGCTGCCTGCACCAACCACTGCTCTGCTCCAGGTGGCCACAAGGAAGGCTACATGGGCCACGGAAATGTGCTTGGCTCACACTGTCACCATCACGCCCCCCTCACTTCGGAGTCATGTTCAGTCAAACAATGGTCACCTCTCATGGCCCCCGCCCTGTTCAGCCCCAGGCCACTGCCTTCTGCCTCACACCCCTCAGTCACTGCTCCCACCAGTGCACCAGTGTCCCACAACCTCCTAACAACCACATCCTACACGGCCCATTGGTCTGGGACCCTCTTGCTATCCTGGACATGTTCTCAGCTGTTAATGAGAGAATCCAACTACGGTAGCTTCACCAAGATGGGGTACATTTTCTATTTAAATGAAGTCCCATAGGCCAACCAAAGCCACTGTGGTGACTCCATAGCCACTAGAGACTCAGCCTTCCTTGGCCTTTAGCTCTGCACTCCTTAGTCTGTGATTTCACTCCGGTATCCAAAAGGTCCAAGATGGCTTCAGGAGCTCCAGACTTCACATTCAAGTCCCAGGCAGCAGCAAAGAGAAAAGCAAAAAGCTTTCCCAGAAATATCTAATGACTTATTGGCCATTCCTATGGGCCGGGAAGCTGAAGAACATGGAGTTTTGTCTGAGGCATCTCCTGTTTTCATTGCACCTGCTCTGGTCATCCCTCCTCTGGCTTCTTCTCCAATGCTGGAGATTCAAGGATTCTTTTTGCTCAGCTTTTGCCGAGATTTTGTCACACTTGTATGACAGCTCTTATCTTCTCCTGGTGTCTCTCTTGCAGCTGCTGATAGTGACCCTAGTTCCCTGATCTGGGTGCCTCTGCCTGCTGGCCCACCAGGATTCCTCTCATGGATTGTCTCTGTGTCTTTGTGAATTCCTCTGGGTCTGGTTTCCCAGTGTTATTGTTGTTGGGGGCCAACAAGACTCCATGGCAAACAGGAATTCTAGTTGGATGATGCTCCATCAGAGCCATTTTTCTTTCCCTCCTGTGACCATCCATCATGCTTTGCTACCACACTCTGCTTTGCCTGCGATATGTCAGTCAAGGAAGACTGGAAGGCTGCAGTGGAAGGCAGTGGGGACCACACCGCCATGCTAATGTCTCCTGCACAAGTACACTCACTGGCTGCTGTGGGGCCCCACTCGAGGCCAGGAAATCTACCTGTCCCATGGGGTGCCTCCTTCCAGTATTCCTCGCTGTGTGGGAGAAGGTGAAGAAACAGAATGAAGGTAGGGTTCACCCAGGAGCGAGGCCCCAGATGAGCTGGGAGAAAGCAGACGCAAGGAAGCCCAGGCACAGAAGGCGGGCACTGAAAGGAGGCACCAAGAAACCTAACCTGAGTCCAAGAGATGAGAAGGCAGAAAGGAACTGCTGCCTTGGGAGGATGTAGAGGAGGAACAGAACTGAAAGGCCCAGAACCTCTGAGGAACAATGTGTGGGAATAGAGGAGGCTAGGCAGAGAGCTGAGGAGGTCATAGCAAGGTTCCAGAGCATGGGCGGACCTGACTCCCAGGGGAGGGCCCCAGAGACGAGATCAAGGAAGGCAGAAGCCAGCATCCACTAGGTGGGTCATCAAGGTGGAAGGCGATACCTCCGAGAACAGGTGCAAGGCAGGTGTATGCCTCAGGTGTCAGAGAACAGGCCAAGCAGCCAGAGGTCACAGTCACCAGAGGGTAGCAGGTGGCAGAGCAAGGACCTTAGGGGGCAGAGCTCTGACAAGACAGCATACACAGCTAGGAGGCAGCAGTGGGAACAAGGACTCATGATATGCAATAGCAGTGTTCCTACCATGCGCATACTCACAAGCATGCACACGCTGACATACATGCACACAAAATACCCCTTACTCACATATGTGCACACACATGTGCACCTGCATTTCTGACAGGGTCTCTCTGTTGTGCTTCCGTGCCCCCAGCCTTCTGTTAGCTAGGGTTACAGGTACATGCCACCGTGCCTGGCCTGCTTCAGGCTGGTCCAGGATCAGAACCTGGCACCTCCCGTGCAGCCCCAGTCTGACGCAGCAGCATCCTCCTTCTTACACCACCACAGCTGGGCCTTATACTCCTTGGCATTGTTGGCCACAGAGGATGGCTTGGGTGGCAGGGGGGATGCTACATGAGGCTGGCTCATGTCACTTCAAGACTTCTCAAAGTGCCTTTTTCTGGGCTCCCTGGCGACACACGGGCAATGCTTGTCATTAACACTGTGGCCCGTTTTCTAGGCCACCACCTTTCTGACATGATAGGGTGGCACTTCCCAGTCCTGCAGCTGCATGGGGCGGTATGCCTAACTCTGTCCAGTGAGCCACGCATAGGAGGAACACGCCAGAGGAGCCGACAGTGACAGGCCAGACCATGTCCCACAGGGGCCACTTTGTCAGCTGCACAGAAGTGACCGGCGAGCAGAGTCCTGCTGACCACGAAGGATCTGAAGGACCTATGGGCAGTAAACTGCCCATGTATCACCCCCTGATCTGCAGGTCACCGTGCCACAGAGCCCGCTGTCCTTGCTGACCCAGGCCCATCCGTCCTGTGGCGTCTCCCAGTCCACCGCCGAGCTCCCAGCTAGTTCCACAACCAGCCTTGCTCTGGATGTCCCTCCACTCACTCTCTTTTCACTCACTCTCACTCTCACTTGATGGATGCTTCGGGCTTCCTTGTTTATGAACAAACCCTTGCTGAGGGCCTTCTCTGTGCCAGGCCTCGGCAGGGCAGCATCGAAGAAAATGGGCCAGCCCAGTGGCGTCGCTCACACTGCTAGACTGCATCCTGGAAGCCATGTGGCCCACCTGGGTTGGGACCTGGTCAGCCTGAAAGCAGCCCAGGTGTGCACAGTTGTCCAAGATCCCGAGGAGCTGGAGAGCTAGAGGAAGGGGATGGCAGTGTGACAGACGAGACCCCCTCTCAGGAGCTTCTCTCTTGTGAGTGCACACACACTTTCGAAAAAGAAGAAGAGAAAGAAAAAGGAAAAGGAAAAGCTCTTGGTCCTGCCTTCTAAAAGCACAGCATCTTCTGGGAGGATGAGGAGCAGATCCCCAGAACAAGACCCTACCAGGCCAGGGCCCCCCTAATCCCAGTGACAGAACAAACACATTGGCTGCCCTGGGCAGCTTCCTGGAGAGCAATGGCCCAGCTGAGTCTGAAATCAAGAAGGAACTGGCACACAGAAAAGAAGGCAAGTGTGTCCAAGGCAAGTGAAAAGGCCTGGGGGGAGAGAAGATGGCTTGGTTCCCAAGCCTGAGCACGCTGCCGTTTCACCTGACTCCAGGCAAAGCCAAGGGAGAACCAAAGGCAGCTGGTCTGGGCAGGAACCGCGCCCAGACTCAGCCCAGCCCCCGCTCCTCCCCAGCCCCCTAGTTCCACCCCTCCTGCTTTTCCCATCCCCGCCTCCTGCCCCATTTAGGAATTTTCAGGAGGAGGACCCGGCTGCGCGAGGGGATTCTGGTCAGTCGTCACAGCTCTAGGACCGGGACCTGGACCCTGCGTCCGGCCTCCAGGCGAGCCCTGGCTGCCGCTGGGAAGATCTGGTCTCTCGCTGCTTTCCGGATGCGCTGCCCTGGGCAAAACACCCGAGCTCTCCCCCTCTCGGGCGCACCACCGTTATTGGGCGACAGCACTACTTATCAGGGAGCCAGGGAGAAAAAGTCGAGGGCTGTGCACCCTGGTGCCAGAGGGGCGGCAGAAGAGCAGGGAATGCAGGCGGGCAGAGCCCCCAGTCCTCACTGTGGGCCCTGCTCCCGAGGTCTGCGGGTAGGCCGGGACCGTGTAGCCGAGCTTCCCCTCCCCATGCACCTTCCTGAAGAGTTCATCCTGGCTGGGCGGTCACCGTGGGCTCAGAGGATCCAGGCGTTTCCCGCCACCCTCTTCCGGTAGCCCCGCCGTCACCCTGTCCCACGCAGAAGCCCCCATTTCCCTCTCCTCCTCTCCCGTTCAGTCTTTTACTCGACAAGTGACCCTGGACATGCCACGCCCGTTCTCTGGGCCTCAATTTCCCCATCTGTGCAGCCAGGAGTGGAAGGAACAGGATGGCTGGGAAGTTCTCTCCAGCACAGCAGAGCCAGGACACACCAGACGAGATGCGCGTGCAGCGCGCGCCCTCTAGTGCCAAGTCCCTTCTTCTGCACGGTTCTTGCCGGGTCCAGGATCCACGAATATATTGTTGTTCGACCTCTTCCAGCCACCCAAACTAGAATTTTCTCTAATCCAGGTCACTGCCTCTGTCTGCGTCTTCCTCCAGGCCTCACATACTGTGACCAACAGGACACAACAGCCAGCACATCCTCAGGGTCTCTGGGTAGCTAGCACATAGCAGGTGCCCAGGACATAGCTGAGGAAGTGAGGGGACGAGGGCAGTTTGCCGGTGACCTGACTGCATAGAAGCAGGCTGCTCCCAGGAGTGAGCTCCTGCCCCTGCCCCTGCCCTGTCCACCTGTCCCGGGGCTGGCCCCAGAATGGAGAAGGCAAGAGTGGAGGGCACTAGGAGCCTAGACTCCAGGCCAGAAACCTGCCGGGGGTCATGGTGCCCACTTCAGGACAGAAGGTTGTGTTTGGTGCCGAGTTGGCTGCAGGTATTATGCACCAGTCTATCTTCCTTTGGGCACACCATTCCCCTCCAAGCTGGGCCTTACCTGGGACAGAGTGGTTCAAGAAGCTGTGCTCATTAGCTCTGACAGCAACCACACAGCAGCAGCACAGGGGCTGCTTTCAGCCCCCAGTGATAACAGCGGGACCTTCTCCCTTTCCAAGTCCAGCAATCTACTTCCCCTTTGTTCTAGGGTGCTCAGCAGATTTCAGTGCAGCCCAGTTAAAGGAGCTCTCACAGAATAAAAATAGCATCTGCATTCAGAAGGGCTCCTTCCCTGTGACCCGACAATGTCTCTGCTGATCAAAGCAGGGGCAAGGAGGCCCCACAAGCTCATTTTCTCTTCCTTGTCGGTGCAGTCAGATCTGTTTCATCTCTGCTGTCCAGTGGGCACCACCAGTCACCTCAATTTTCCAGTTATTGCCCTTCCAAATTTGCACACAGGAGGGGAGGACGTGCTAAGCCACCTCTCTTCATTTAGGCAGGAGTGGTGGTTAGCTAGGTGGGGCAGCACTAGCAGGCAGGCTCACTGGGAGGATGGAGGCCTGGGTCTTCTGCCTGGGGAAGGCGCTCATGTGACCTGAGCAATGCCGAGGAGGCCCTGAGAGCCGATTCCCACCAGCCAGTGGGGAAGCAGAGTGCAAATGGACAAAGGGCCACACAGTGGCCATACAGCAGCCCGAGATAACTTTGGGCCAGTGGCACTGCTTTTACAAGCCTGCAGGCTGTTCCTCCATTCAGCCCCTCATTGAGCACCTCCGGAAGTCCCAGGCCTGGAAAATCTAAGTGCCGAGAAAGTAAATTATCTTGATTTTTAAAGATGATATATCTGCAGCTGAATTGGGACTAGGACCCCCATCTGAAGCAGAGCCCAGCCTTCCCCAAATGCATGTGTCCATTTCCTCTGGCCACCACGCTATACCCAGCAATAGTCCC